AATCGTTACTTTTTTCTAAAACTTGGTAATCTTTCTAATAAAAAAAATTTAATTTAAAAAAAATGCTATGTTTTTTTCATTTATAAAATTAATGTGCAATATATATGCATTCACAGCTAACTTCGTGTTTAAATACCTTGACCTCCCGTGGAGCGCTTATTCAGCGTGGCTAAGCACAGTCTGAGAAATTCTCGCAGCAGACTCAGTGACACCACTTTCGAAATGCAATTATTTTGCAAAATGAATAAAAATATTAATTAGCAAGTTGTTTTCATTCATTTTCGAGTTTTATGCATTTATTTTATAAATTTTAAATAAAAAATGCTGGACTTTGTTATTACGTTTTTCATTATATTATAAGTTATATTATACGATTATATTATAAAATTATATTATAATATTCTTCCGAATTTAAAAATAAATTAATGTCCATAACTTTCAAAATTAGAAATAATTAAATAAATAACAACAATTTTGCAAAAACATTAAAGAACATAAGAATATTATTCAATAAAATTTAGGTTACTTTGAATTTTCGATTTCCTAGAAATGTACTTTTAAATCGTTACTTTCTTTGTTTAGTACTTGCACTTTTACTCGTTACTTTTTAAAATAAGAACTTTTTACTCGTTACTTCTTTTAAAAATACTTGTACTTTTACTCGTTACTTTTTAAAAGTAACGTTGCCATATATGGTAATGACAATTTCTTAGAATTTTGTGACTTTTTGTACAACATATAACTTTTTTTACTGTTAATATTTACTAATAACTTGTTACATAACTGTAAATAATACAAAAAATGTTAAAAATTAATTTCAAACAAATTTATTTACACAATAGTTATACTTTCACAATCCAGTCATTTTTGACTGCTTTTGGGCAATATAGGTATATACTAAGTTTCAATCTTTCGAGTGTTAATAATGTATGTTAAACGATAACAAATCTTCTCATTATTACAGCAGGGTTTCTGCTACTACCTGCTATTGTGCAAAATTGTGACAAAATGTTTCATTTAATGACAAAACAAGCAATAATATTGGCCTATTGCAAGAGCTTAAGAAACCTATGTTTTCCTTTCCAGCCCAGCAAATAATTCAACAACATTAACAAAGGATATGAATTTTTTTTTATAAGTGTTGAATTTATTTTTCTTTCTTGAGATTCTGAAATGTTTTGGTTGTTTCTGCAGATAATATCTGAGTTCATATCAGCAATCAAGAAAATGAGCTAACTAATTTTGTATTTATCAGTAACTGAATTACTTTATTTCGATAAAAAAATTATTAATGCTATTTAATTAAATAATGTTTTTCTTTTCTTTTCTTTTAAAAGTGCTGCTTTACAATCTTTTCAACTTAATTATCTTAAACTAAAGACAAGCAAGATTAAAGATTATAAGTTTTTAAAAGGTAGAAATGAAGTTAATGAAATAAATTTTACCTTGGCAATTTTTATTGATTTGTCATGTTGCAATGAAATAGCAAGCTCTTCCCATGTTCCGGCCATTCTCTGGCAATGACCACACCAGGGAGCAAAGAATTTTACAAAATGCAGTCCATAATCTACCACTTGATGGAAATTTTCATCAGTTAACTCTATTGCACCACTTCCAGGTGACATTTTTAAGCTAGGAGGAGGTATCTGAAATAAAAGAAAAACTTGGAAGATACAGAAAGGATAGCATAATTAGAACATTTGCTATCATTTGATTATCTTCTATTAGATTATTTTAATTTATTCTGTTTAACCCCTTGATAAACGAAGACGCCTGGGAGATGTTATTTGTTTCTTATGTCAAAACTATAATACGAATACGTGTCTCAGACGTCTTCAACACAGAGATGCCAACTTGCTCCGGACAGCAAATAAATATTTTAAAGTGGTAGTTTATCAATTGTGATTCTTGGTTTAATAAATTCAATTTAGTAGAATTTTATGCATTACTATTTCTAAACAATTGATAGGCTTATATAATTCACCATTTTAGAGTAGTTATGAAATGCTATACCTTTTAAAAGCAAGCAAAAATAGTCAAATACTTACAAAATTTAGTTTGTAGTAATCTATTGTTTTTAAAAAATTATTTTGGCGTGTCCGGAGCAGTTGACATCTCTGTCAACATTCCGTTGCGAGTTGTTGCTTACAGTACAATCGAAGATCATTTTTATATCAAGAAATGATATGTCAAGGGGTGAAGAAAGAGATAAACCAAGGATTTTTTTTTGTTAAAAAATGCATATTTTGCATATTTAAAGTAAAACTACATAAACATTATTGTAGAAATAAGAGATTGAGGTGTGTTTTTAATTAATTTAACTATAAGTTTATATAAAAAAAATTCTGAAATTCAAGCTCTGATAAGACTGTTATTCTAATTAAATTCTAAAATTTGTTCTGAACTTAAATTTGTAAAAAATGTCTACACCGTTAGCACATAAATATTAAATAATACATTTGTACATAAATTTTATGCTTACAATATGCAATTTTATGCATACAAGTACAAGTATAGATAGGCGTGTAACTAAAATGTAAGTATGTACATATTTACCTACATATACATTAGGTAAATACATATTTACATGTATTTTAGTTACATTCATCCTTACATACTGTGAGGATGTCAGATATCGACTATGTCAACTTTCATCAATGAAAAGGTACCCAAGCATAGAATCGATTTAACACGTCTTATATACTAGTGAATTGGAATTATATTTTTGTAGTGGTAGATACACTACAGTACTCCTCCACCAGAATTATATCTGTGATAGAATTCAATGAACAGATTCCACTAGTTGATTCATTGCTGTTTTCTGAGAAGCCGGAAGAGCTGGATTAAGATCAACGTACTTTTTTAGTGCTGATTGTGAGAGCTGTATTAAGTTAACGGTAGTAGTCGCTTCTGTGTTGCCTTTAGCAGTCGAGTGTATACGTTGTGTGTGATCGAGACTGAGAAGCAACAGCGTGAGAAGGACAATGTCACAGTCACAAGTCAACTGTCCATTGTGGATCATTCAAGGTTGAGTTACTATCAAGGTAGGCGTGTTCACATCATGTCCGGGTCACCTATGTGGGGATGTCAGATATCAACTATGTCAACCTTCATCTATGAAAAGGTAACCCATCATAGAATCGAGTTAACCTGTCTTACACACTAGTGAATTGGAGTTATATTTTTGTAGTGGTAGATGCACTACACATAAATTACATGAAAAAGCATGATGGAGGTTGGCCTCTCTAAGAAGTTACTTCCATTGACTTCAAAGGTACATTAACAAAGGTACAGGATTTTTCTCAAACATTTTTAATTTTAGTCAGTGTAACAGAGATGCCAACTGCTCCGGACAAGCCAAAATAATTAAAAAAACGGTAATAACTACAAAGTAAAATTTACAAATATTTGACTATTTTTAATTGCTTTTTAAAAGGTATAACATGACATAAGAACTAAGAAGTGATGAATTATATAAACCTACGAATTATTTCGAAATAGTAGTGGATAAAAATCTACAAAATTGAATTTATTAAACCAAGACTCACAATTGATATACTACCACTTTAAAATATATATTTGCTGTCCGGAGCAAGTTGGCATCTCTGAGTGTAATTTTGTTGGTGCGAAAATGCCACTTCTGCTAGTGTCATGAAAAGATAAATCTAAGAATAACATTTTGTGTCTGTAAAAATGATATCAACTGATATAATTATGTGCATAAACTACTTTATGCTCATAAAATATTTTACATAAATAAAGAATTATATAAATTTTATATCACAAAAATTAGTGAGCTTTAAAAGATGAGAAGAGGTTTGCTTGTTTCTCCTAAAATAACTTTCTTTTTTCAAATTTTACTTTCAACTCTAAAAGTAAATCATTGATAGCAGCATTTTTAGTGCACTCTGACTGCAACATGAGGTTGTATCGTCAAAAAGAGCTCTCCAAATAAGAGCGTCACATAAATATTTTGTATACATTTTAATCTACTTATATCATCATCATCCATGGCTCGACAGCCCAGGGTGGGCTTTGGCCTTCTCAAGAAGTTTTTTCAAAAAGTTCCTTTTTTTGCTAATGTTCTCCAATTCTTTGTCTTTAAGACCATAAGGTCTTTCTCCAGGCCATCTATCCATCTCAAATTCAGCCAGCCTCTTTTTCGTTTCGCGTGCCAACTGGTCTGGCATTAAGAACTCTTTTTGTGGTAGCGTCTTTGTCCATTCTGATAACTTGTCCTGCCCATTTTATTCTTAGTCATTTAATAAAGTTAATAATGTCAGGTTCATTATATGATTGATATAGCTCTAAATTTGATCTTCTAAGCCACACAGCATTTTTTTGAATTCTTCCAAAAATACTTCTCAAGACCTTTCTCTCAAAGGTACCCAACATAGCCTCATCCGTACAAGATCGGGTCCAGGTTTCACAAGCATATGTTAAAATTGATCTTATAAGAGGTTTATATAATAAAACTTTTGTTTTTCTATGAATTACATCAGATTTTATATATTTTCGAATTCCATTAAAACAGTTATTGGTTATTGTAATTCTTCTTTGAATTTCTATTGTGGTGTTGTTTCTGTTGTTGATTACAGAACCTAAGTAAACGAAATCTACTTATATACTTTGTTAAATTTTTGGCTTTGATATTTTTTAGTGTTTCCATATTTGACCTTTTTGGCATTTGATGTGAAGTATTGCCGGATCACTCCGTGAGGTTTTAATGGTCTTTCTTAAAGGTTTTCTTCAACACAAAGTCAATGAAAAAAATTTAGTGCCTCCCAAAAGTGATCATAAATAGAAGGTCGATACACAGAAGTGATGTTTTCTGGAGGTTTCACTGTAGTCTATAATCCTCATTACTTGTAATCCAATATTAAGATTACATGCAATCATATATTTTGATTACTTGTAATCATGATTACAAGAACTTGGACCGAAATTTGTTTTTGGTCTTAGTATAATAAATGGACAATATGACAAACTTTCCTCTTTCGCCCAGTATTTCAGTGCCTCTAGAGATGAAAAAAGATAGTCTGCTATAGAACCGCCGTCAAGTACAGACCCTTAACCCCTCTTCCAATTCTTATATTTTTTATTCTTGTTTTATTTTATAGGTGTCTTGTCTTTTTCAATAAATATTTAGAGTTAGCTAATTTCTGTTCTTTATTATTTATGAATTGGTTAAAACACAAATTCACCCAGTCTCCCTACAACAATAAATAATAAAATAAAAAACATTTTACGAAGATAAGAGCCCCGTGGCAGAATTGCAGCGACACGGCGACATTGTCACAGAATGTTACAGAGTTCTTGCGGAAAGATTTTTCGTTTAAAAAATTAAAAATACTTTTTTACAGAAATTTACATGTAATATTTGAATTGTGCATTTAGATAATTACTTTTTGACTCGCTCAATTTACGTTGATAGTGTCGTAAATCGATGTAATGTTTCAATAGTATTTTTAGCAGTTATTGATATTGATTTTTAGGATGCTTTTCAATTTTCTGATATATTTCGAACACTATGGAAGATTCGAATCGCCCATTTGAGTATTTACTTTTTAAGGCAATAATTCTGTCGATTTTTCGGCAGTTATTGCTATTGATTTCTCCATAGTTTTTAAAGCTGATATTTTTCATTCGATATGATTTATTACATCAACCTAATCTTGAAACGAAACACGCATTTGAGGAGTCAGATTCACATCATTTCATCTTCGATCTTTTTTACGGGAATTTTCTAAGGATTTCATGATTAATTATTTTTTTTATCGTGATGATTATTTATAAAATGCAAGGAAAAAAAATTCTTGTGCATCCCCCCCCCCCAAACAAAATGGAAGAGTTTCACCCATAATATTAGAATAAAAAATTATTACATGTTCAATTTTTAAAACGGAAAATATTATAGTTTTTTTTATCTTTGTAAACACAGTGCTTTTGTTATTTTAAAAAAGTAACATGTATGTTTGTAATTATTAAAAGTATCCTGCAGAAATATATTAGTGCCAGAGAGTTGTGTCGCAGATAGCTTGAAAAAATTCTGCCCCTGTGGCAGAATTTTTTCAAGGATAAGAGAATTTTTACAAGTGAACTATTATGAAAAGGATGGGGTAGGTTTTTGCTGATTAGTCTCAACTCGTTATCAGCCACACATAAAAAGTATTATGAACTCACTGATTTTTTTTCTTCCTTGAGGTTATTTGAAATGAATTCTTCTAGTCCTAATAAATCACGTTTTCCTTGGTATTTTATACCCTTTTTCTCTCCAACGTCATAGAAAATAAGCCTAAAAAATTCAGAGTATTAAATACACCTTTCAAAGAATTTACAAGATATTAAAATGTAAAAATAAACTAAACTTGATTATGATTTTATGGGCACCTAAAAATTCCTATGTAACATAAATAAAACAGATGCTATTTATGACAATATACAGAATAACTACGAGGGCGTAAAATTTGGAACACTACAAAATCGGGATTTCTAAAATTCAGAAACCTTCTGAAACCTGATTTTCTCTTCTTTACAAGTTGTGACGAGAAAAAAAATTGTTAAATCAGTAACAAAGTAGACGCAAAATGTGGAAATTTGCGATTCGTGAAAAATACATTAAAAAATTTATTTTGAAAACTGGAAATTCATGTCACAATACTTTATAAAGCATGATACCATTACCATGACTTTATAAACCATGTAGAAATTACTGTAATTGCTGAAAAATAGAAGATAGAGAAGATGAAAATTGTCGTAAATCCAGCAGGTTCAAAAGTGTTTTTTGAAGTACCAAAAGTGATTAATGTCATACTATTGTACAACTAAAAAAAGTCAAGATTTTAAAAATTCTATAGCAATTACTGCTCAAAAAATAAATAGTTAAAAAAAAAAACACACTGCTTTAAAAATTAAATTCTATTCAGATAATTTTTTTCAATATTTAAAAGTTTCTGTAACACTGCATTTGGAGCTTGATTTTGCCAGGTTTCATAAACTCATAAATTCGATCTAACTAGTATAGGATCATGAAAGATCGGCAATAACAATTAATATCTAGCACAAATTAAAGGGTTAAATATTAGAAGATAAAATTGAATAGTTTTACCCTGAAAAGTAATAAATTTTTTGTTAAATGAATTTAACATTGTGTAACACAAAAACGAGAAAAGAATTTCATCTCTGTGTTTTTACTTAAAACAATAAATTATTACTCAAAAAGAGAACACATTTAACTACAAATTGTAACTCAAGATAAGAACACATTTATCTACAAATTAAAAGAGAATTGCAAAATAAACATAAAACCTAAGATTGAATAAAGAAGTTTTTCTAAGGAAGCTATGCTTATATTCAAAAATAAATAAAAAATAAACTATATTGTTCTTACGATGGATAACCCGAAACATCTTCTTCAGCACAAATAGGAGTTTCTGCAGTGCAATCAACCTATAATTTTGTAAAAAAATAAATAAATAATATATAATTCTAAATTAATTATATAATTCTAAATTATGTAGTTATAAAAAATCATATACAAGTATACACAATGAAACCACATAACTAAAATTCAATAAAAAAACTCTGAAAAGACAAGAAATAATTGAATATTCTTTTATTTGTTTTTACACTAAACTAACGGTACTCTCTACGAAGCCTGCAATGTTCAAATTCAATGTATGAAATCCAAATTGGATACAATATTGAAACAGATGTTTTCTGTTTACATTAACAGAAAATATCCATGTTTTTTATCTTAAGCATACATTAGGTCTGCTTAAATGGCAACAAAATAACAGTAATAGAAGTGATATTAAGATATGGAGGGTACTGAAGCAGACTCTCAAACTATGATATAAAATAAAATTTACATATAATTAAAAAAAAACACTTATTAAGAAGTTTATGACAAAAGTCCTTGACTTTAAGAATTTATAATAAACATTTATTTTACAATTATTGAAGCTTTTCTATCTTTATCAAATACCTCACATATTCAATTTATTTTCAACTGATCAAATGTAAAGAAAAATGCAACACAGTCAGAAGCCTTTTTCTATTCTTGAACTTGTTAATCAAATTTCTGTAAAAAAATTATTTTTACTTCTTAACATGAAAGTGAAAGAAAAAAATCTATTATACTCTGCGAAAAAAAAAAGTATTTAGGTTTTACTACACTAAGGAACATTACTAAGGAATTAATTGCTACATTTGAAAAAATATTAATAAATAGAACTACTGTCTACAAATTTTCAAACCTTTCAAGTAATTTTTTTAAAAAGTTTTATAAAGAAAAAGTTATTGTAATCTTTCAAAACAATTAAAGCAATATATAAAATTAGAAAAATTTTACAAAATGTTCATAAAATAATCATGGATGATTAATTACTTAAAAATTCTTTCTAAAATTAACTGAGAAAATAAAAATACAACAGTATGTAGTAAGATAAAATTTAAAAACAAACATAAAAACTTGAAATAATTGAAAATATCCCTGTTCAAATATTGTACATCAAATAGAGATATTTACTTTTGCAATAACAATTTCCTGTTGACTAGAATCCTTATTATATTTCTCAGCAAGTTCATCCCATACTGGCTTCAAACGTTTACAATAGCCACACCTATAAACCAATTAAAGTATGCATAAATATATAAATTAAATATAAAAAAATATGAAGATTATTTTGACAAAAGTAGCTAATATAACTAATATACTCTAGCATGAAAAATAAAATATTCATAAGCAACTACTAATCTTTTTTTAATTTCAAATAAAATTTTGTAAAAAATTTTTTTCTTCCTTTTTGATAACAAATATTGACATATTATTTAATCATATTTCATCACCAATAATTTAGCACAAAATAAATACAATGAATATCACTAAAAGAACTTCTCCGTGAAAAATTTCTGAATAAAATGTTAGCTTCAAAAAATTTTTCACTTTTATGAATTTATATTTATATGGAATGTTTCTCTTGCTAGTCTTTGAAAATCTAATCATGCTAAGATAGAGAATTCATATTTTTTTTTTAGAAAAAAAAAAACCCAATTAATATAAATCTTATCTTGAAATAAATGATTTACAAAAAAGGCTGATCAAGCTTGCTCTAAAATTATAGGTAAATGCCCTATGTTTTACAGTGTTCTCCTTAAGTATTTTTAGAAGAGTGGTCCACCCTGCCTGTCATTTTACAGAAATATCTGCACCTTCTTTGCACTTTTTAAAAAAAATGTGTCCCCCTTTTTCAGAAAAAAATGCTCTTTAAGAAAGAAATTGCAGAAACTTTTTATTACCATAACTACCACAAACAATTTTTAAGCTTAATTAAACTACCACAAATAACTTTTAAGCTTAATTAATCTAAAATATTTAAATATTCTGAATTTCATATTGAGAGGAACTAATCTACCTAGCTACAGCTGATATAATTTTCAAGATATGAAAAAAAAAAACTTCAAAACTGAAATGCCCTTGTTTTTGATAAAGCACCCTGTCTTTTTTTATTTTGTGAGAGATCTCTGTGTTATAAAAATACTTTATAACAGACTTAGAAGGAAAAAAAATTATGTACGTAGAACATATTTAAATAAATTTTTTAACTTATCTCATACGCGTTTTAATAAACTTCAAATACAAAATCTTTTGAAAAAAAAATACAGATATAAAAAATATATTTTTAAAAATAAGAGAAAGATAAAAATATGATACGAGGTAAAAGAAATATGAGGTTTGCTAGCAATTTACATTACTGACATATAATTAAGATTTTTCATATTAACTTTTAACACTTACATTTTAAATTAAACATGCATGTTTAATAATAAAATCAATGATAAAGGCAAAATAAATTTTTAAAGAGATAAGAGAGAATGAATATTTTTAATAGCTTTATTTTAATAAATTGCATTATTGAACTTATAAAGTATATTTGGTTGTTGCAACATATTTGGTTGCGAATATGCACGATTGTAGTTAAATTTAAAGAGGGAAAAACAAATAACATTTAAAATGGGATCAGAAAAATTTAAGATACATATACCAAAGTAAAGAAGTTACAAAATCTGCCACAATTTACAAAATCTGCTTGAAAAACTTTCATGAAACAAAATAAAATAAGAAACAGAAAAAGTTTAGATAAATTTTGCTGCATTTATTTGTGAAAAAATTTAACAATATGATACATTTAACAATAAGAACAAAAGTGAACAAATATAGCAATAAAGTACATGTTTTATTAGAGAAAATAAATCTAAAACAACTGAACATCTTATTATTATTTAAAAAAATAAAAAATATTTAGTTTATAAAAATAAAATAACAAGCCAATATTTCAAGAAATTTCATAAAAAAATTACATAAATCATATAAATTACGGCAGATTATGATTATTATATTAATAGCAAAGAATAATTTTCTCACCATGGTGCAAAGAAATTAACAAAATGAGGTATGTTTCCCCCAATGTTTTTCTTAAACGTTTCGGAATCATACTTCAAAACTTTATCACTATAAAGATCGCTACAAGAACATAAATTTACTAACAAGAAAATTAATAAAAATGAGATCATAGTTTCTTGAAACATCTTGTTTAAGTAAAATAATATATGCCGGTTGATTTTGTATTTCAAGTTTCCTCCTCTGATATTACGCGTGTAATACTTTCATTGTTCAAAAGGAAAAGTTAAAGACCGCCCTAAATTACTTACACTAAATCTTCTTTTCCTTTCTAAAAATATTAACAATCAAAAAATGTAGCATGCCATTTAATAAATGAAATTTAATATCTTGACGGCGCAGGGTACAAGAAACAAGAAGCCAAATAAAAACAAACGTCATTCTTTGTTTATTTTTTCCATTGAAATGCAATAAACCGGAAAAAAACATTTTCTTTTTTTTTATTCAGCTTTCTTATTTTACTTTCAATCAGGCATGCATTTGTTTTAGTTGTTTTTATTTTTGTTGATGATATTTCATAATAAAAGTTATTTTTAGATACATTTTGAAAAATATAAAAACTTTTGAACAGTCGTTTTTACAGCTAAACGTATCCCTATTTAACAGTACGCTTTAAAAATCGAAATATTTTCGTTCGTAAAAGGTTCATGTTTATCTTAATGATAAAACTCTTAAGTTGTAACCGTTCAGCGCAGCTGATATATTCATTACTTTTTTGTGGAGCACCTATTTCTAATACTTGTGAACAAAACGAAAAGAACAAAAACTAAAGGTATTAGGTGTCAGGAGGTTATTTGCGTATTTTGGATCTAAATAAACGTTGATCGATAATTTACTATATTTCGTTTAAAACTCATTTGAATAAAATTCTACAATGGTGTCAAACGACGAATTGGCTTGTGTATATTCTGCTCTTATTTTGCAAGACGATGAAATAGCTATTACTGTAACTATTGCTTTACTATTAATTTTTTTTTAATTCATTTATTTTTATTTGTAATTTGGTAATTTATTATACTTATGTAAAAAAATATTCTTAAGAATGTGCACTAGTTATTTTTATAAAATGCCAATTAGCTATTGGACTTAATTCGTCTTGTTACGCTTTACTTAATTGTTCGACTCGTTTCTCTTTAAAAATAAGTTCCCAACATTTTTTCAATCTCCGCCTACTTTGCAAAATAAACAGGTTTCACCGCCCACCTAGTAATTTTCTTTTTCTATACTACTCAGGCTGTTTAATATATTGAGAAATAAGAGATAATCAATCAAAAATATTTCCCTCAAAATTCCGTTACTACCTTAATAATACGTCTTAAAAAATCTTACAAACATGAATATATCATCATAAAACATGAAAATGGATCATAATGATATATGTTGCACTGTTACACCGATTTTTTGATACCCAGACCTTTCCAAAAGTTTAACATGTTACCTCTATATAACATTATGCATCCAGGGTTTAATGCTATAATTACCTAGTAATAAATATACGTTTAATGTGAAGTATTTTTTTCAATAATACAAAACACAAAGTAATTAAACATGTAAGTAGATAATTATATAATATTGTAAAATTCAAAACATTTATTAGCAATAGTTACTTCAATGGTTGGATGAATGCTCAAAAAATTAAAGCACAAATTATCTGACTAATGAATTGTTTTAAACTTTGTTATCTCTTTGAAAAGTATTATTATTTTTTTTTGATGAACTGTCTATATTTTGTTTGGATAAAAGAAGTTCTCCCACTAAAGCAGCAATAAAAATTTTCTTCTTTTATTAAGTTTAAATCATTATCTTGCAATTTCATATTTACATTATTAAATATTTTATGCAGAGCTGTCAAATGAACAGTTTCACTGTTGAATATTATCATGACTCTAGAAATGATTCAAAAAGATTATAAAATCAATTCTAATTAATAATACCTTTTAAAAGACTACAAACTTTTGTGTAAAGCAGTTGAAATCTTCATTTTAAAGTTTGCTTAAAACTTTATCATTCAATGAATTGTTTTTTATGATTTTATTGATTACTTTAATTACATAATAAAGTAGCATATATAAGCATTCTCTTAATTTTTACCTGCCTTTAAAAACTCTTACAGTTTAAAATCAATCACTCTGAAACATAATTTAAACATCATCTTCTGCATCTCCCATCAATCGGTATTTCAAACAAGAATTTGTTTTCATTTTAAAGTCATAATTTCCTTCTTTGTTTATCAATTCTTTAAAAGTGTGATACTGATATAGCAATATTAATCTACCAATTTATGGATCTGTGAATAAATTCATATAAATATGTAAATATTTTTGAAATGTTATCTTAATCAGTTTATTTCACTTAGTATGTGATCTTTTTGTAAGCCTGGTATATTAATTTATTTTCAATTTAGTTTACAGATCTCTAGACTTCTTAGATTAAACAATTTACTATTTGCTTGAAACTATTGGTTTTGTAATATACAGGGTGTCTCAGTCAAGCGTTTCAGAACTTCTAAGAGGGGTAGGGGGCATCCTGACGACTCGAAATCATATAGCAATGTGGGGTCGGAAATGCTTTCCTGAAGCGGTGACGTACACAGAAGCACCATAAAGAAAAGAGACCGTAAGTGAAAAATCGTTTTAATTATTTAATTGAAAAAAGCATAAGGCACATGGAAAAGCATATTTACATTGAAAAAAGCATAAGGCACATGGGTCAAAGTAAGTGTTCGAAGTTTCTGCCACCGGCTACAATGCACACCTCACATCTCCGGTGCATGGACATCCGAACATTCTGCAATACTCCAGGCATATCTCAAATTTCTCCTGCAGCTACTGTGATTCTTGCATCAGCATTGTCAACAGGGGTGTCATAAACCAGTGTTTTCATATGACCCCAGAAATAAAAATCAAGGCATGATAGGTCGGGTGACTGAGGAGGCCAATGCACTGGAAAGCTCGGTCAGAACTTATGAACAACGCCATCTACCGCATCAGGAAAGCATTTCCGACCCCGCATTGCTATATGATTTCGAGTTGTCAGGATGCCCCCTACCCCTCTTAGAAGTTCTGAAACGCTTAACTGAAACACCCTGTATATAAATGTGTATATTTTTAATTAATGCCATATATTTAATTTTATTATTGACAATAAAATTTCTTTCATGATGATCAAAGGAAAGCTTTGATAAATGTAAAAGGTTTATTAATTTTTTCAAGTATTCGCTGAACTCTGACTAACCTCAAAACTTCTCTAGAAAGCTTCAACATTCCCTGAGGATAAAATTGGAAACCTAGGGCTTAAAAACTTTGGGCATTGTACTTTAGAGCATTTATTGTTCATAAATTCTTAATCACTTTCTTATTACATGCCATTGAAATATGTAACGAGGTCCTTATTGTCATTTGTCGCTACAACTACTGCTGCCAAGGCACCAAATGGATTTTAAACTTGGAAATTTGAAGGGGAAGAAAAACAGAGGTTTGTCCGAGGATAAATAGGGATTATATACCCTCTCCCAGTTTTAGTTTTAACATTGGGTCTGGTCCGCAACACGAAGCTTTCGGAGGTCGCTCAAAATGTTTTCAACTTTTGAAAAGTAAATCGTTTGGCAGTCTACTTTCCTGAGGAGTCAGTTCATATTTTTCACCTGGTGTCATTACCTTTTATTTAATTTTCTTTCATTAATATTTTAAATATTTCTATTTAAAAGACAAACCACAATAAAAAGTTAAACTCTTAAAAAATAAATACTATTCACGATTTATAAAAATTTAAGGAACATTTTCAGAGAATCTGGTTTCTTCTTTCTGCTTAAAATGCACCATTCCTATACTTAATTTCTAAATGTTTATTTCATATGAATTTTTATTTTGCTAAAAAAATGTGAACAGAAAAATACTACTAATGCAATGTTGGAAAATAATTTAAAAAATGAGTTTGCTTATTACAAAAAGAGAAGAATGAAATGTCTCAACTCCTTTCTTAAGATTGAACTTATGTGTCTGCCATTTTGTCTGTTATTAAACTTGGTCAGATCATTTTGGAGCTTCAAAGTCACATAAGTTTTTAAGATTTGTTATAAGCTTTATCATTAATCAGATTAAATTCCACTTAATAGATGTAATGTAGCATTTAAGTTTTAATTCATTTTATAACATTTTGAGTAGAATATTCTTTAAGAATCTTTTTTTTTCTAACATTTACTTTCTAATTCAACTTTTATACCACATTTTAAGCTTTTCCCTGTGTAATGTTTTTGCTAAATGTTTTATTTTGTCTTTTTATTAAATTTTTAAAATTAGATTTTGATGACTTATGAGCATTACTAATATCCCTCCCCTTTCCAGCTAGAATAAGAAAATCACAAATCCCCTCTCTCTTAGTTGCTTTTGTAATATTCGTATGCTTAAGTAATTTCTATCTCAATTTCTTATTATTTAAAAACTTATAAATCATTTTTTGTGAGAACATAATATATCTTTAAAATGAGAAGGATGTCCCATCATGTAAATTTTTACCTTAACCTCTGGGTAAAATCAAACCACTGGGAAGATACCTTATATCGGTACTCAGACCAAAATAATCATCTGGTAGAAACTTTTAAAAAAAAAATTCTTGGAAATAGATAAACTAGAATATTTCTGAAGCAGCTGCCTTAAAGTCTATTTTTTAATCCCTTTGGCTCAAACTGATACTGTTTACAGAAATATTTCCATTTCATGGTTTCAAACGGTGTTTAAATATTTAACCTCAGCTCTGAATTGGCCCATGCTGTATTTGAATCTGATATTAATTCAATGATTATAAGGTGTTTAGATGTCTACCCTCTGTTTAGTTAAGATTTTAATCTTCACTGTTATTTTGTATTTCATTTATTATATATTTCTAGTCCTACAGTGGATTGATCATTAGACACGGTTCCCTGTAAATCACATAGATCGAACATTACTGGCAACGGTCAGTGAGCATGTGGGTGACCACTTTGATAATCCTGTAAAGCAGTGTTTCTTAACCTTTTTGATATAATGGACCCCTTTTTAATTTTTTTAAGAAGTTACGGACGACCCCCCTGTGAAAAAAGTAATTGCAAAAAACATCAATTTTTAGAAAACATTTAATTTTATTATTTTAATACTAATAGTATACAAAATTTTTTAAATTAAAATTTTTAATGTGAAGGTTGCTGCTGCTTTTCCTTAATTAATAAATTTAATTGGGGGATGGTTTTCGACAAATCAACGTGTATATCATGTTCAGCATTCAATAGATTTCGATGTTATATTTTTATTGTCACAAGTGTGAAAAAGTCCCACTTCGCATATGTTATATTTTTATTGTCACAGTCCCGCTTCGCAAAGACTGTAGCAAACGGAATTATAGCTGCCCAAGTTCGCTTTACAAGCAATGGGTAGGCTTCCAAACGTTTTAAAAATTAGGAGTAGTCAGCGGACCCCCAAAATATAACTCATGGACCCCTTAGGGCAGGGGTCGCCAAACTTTTTTGATCATCGACCCCTATATAATTCTTCGAAATCTCCATCGACCCCCGCAAAAGTAATTTTCTGTTAATTAAAATAAAACAATATTAGATGCTGTGTTTGTACATTTATTTTATGATTTTAAACATTTATTAAAGTAATAGTACATTGTGTAACAATAGTTTTATGAAAAATATATTAATATTGAAATTTAAATACCTTATTATTAAATAATAAGTAATTATGCATAAGTAGATATAATAAGTAAAGTAACTAAAGATTTACTGCTTCTTGATCAATGAGATGGGT